TCGCACGGAGTTTGAGGTTACTCAAGTTTCTCGACGGAATCAAGTAGGCCGTGAAAAGTTGAGGTGACAGTCCTATCCTCAAAATTCTGGCTATTAGCTCCTTCACCCTTAATTTTGCGAAAAACCCTTAACAATTTAAACGTCAAACTGACGGACGAGTCCATTTCGAAAAAATCGAAGGGGAGTCCCAGGTCGCGGCGCTATTTTTACGAAAATTTGCGAAAATACAAGCAACGGACGGGAGAAATCGACGAAATTGTCTTTACGAAGCGTAAATATAAGCTTTACGATAAGTAAAAGTCATATGCGAAGTTGCTTCCCGCCGCCGGAAACGGCGATGCGCCGTCGAGATTCTATATTTGTCGCCGGAGGCGACGATGCGCCGAAGGCGCATCGTCGAGATATTATTCGCACGGCGATGCGCCGCAGGCGCATCGTCGAGATTCTATTTTGCGTCGGAGACGGCGATGCGCCTCGTCGAGATTTTACACTAATTTCTCACATTTTGGGGGTCTCTCATATAATTCCAAGTCTCGAGACTTTCTATGTAATTGGTAGCAGTTTGTGGAACTGTAGTAGTTCCACAGAGCTGTGAGTAGTTCTAATGTATAGTTTTTATAACCTTGCTTTCTTTTAATGTTTACATTAACTGGAGAGAGCTTAATCTTATTGTAAACCTTTTTGTTATTGTTAAATATAGTTTCAAAGCTACCTAGTTACAATCAAATGGCATCAGGTATACATTTCCAAACGGAAGAAATTATCTCTCGTGAAGTTTGTTTACGTTTCGCATCTGCAAAACGTAGGCCTGAATGAAATGAAAATACAACCCTATTTTTTATAGTACCATATCGTTCGTCGAAATTATACGTGAAGACAAGTTCTAAAGGTAATGCAGGTATAAAACACGTTTAGAACGTTTATTGTGATCTACTTTCAGGTACAGAGACCAGATATAGAGATCGTATTTGCGACATGTAATTTACAAGTACGTCCCCATTTTACCTTCGAAAGGGGGAAAGACATATAATCCAATCCATTGATGTTCATTAAACCGAAATGTTATGTAGTTTTAAGTATAGATACAAATGACATTAGGCTGGCCACATTAAAATCATTTCCATTGAAAGTTTATGTAGGTACCTACTCATATTAACGTGTCTTGAATTGTACTTACAATTTCAAAGAAAAATCCATTAATGTTTAGGAAGGAAACTTCAAAGTGTATAAAGATTGCTTTATTAATAAAAGTCTAATTCTATGTAGTGATTTGTTGCTATAACATTAACGTGATTATTATTAAGATAGTAAGCCCTTTAATATAAAAAGAAGGATTTTATTAGTTAGATAAATACTGGCCACTAATGACAAAGTACACATGTCACATTTAATCACTTGAGGGAAGTGGACTGCTACATTACACTAATGTTTAAAGGAACATTTTCTATAAAGTTACTAGATTATTTCAATTTGAGATCATCTAGATTCTGCGGTTTCTTGGTGTTTCATACCTACATAGTTTCTAGAGAAATTCATAAATCTAAATATAAATTTACTTCTATCTATTTTGTGCTAAATTGATGTGGATCATGAGAAAAATATTAAAAAATACATGTACACTTTGTACACATTATGCCTTGCATGCAGCAAGTCGTTTCACATTGTATGTGCATGTTAAAAAACAATGTATTAGTTATTAACAACACATCCAAAGTACTTATTACACATGGGGTTGTTTTAGCCTCCTGTAGAACAAGTTTATTCTTATCGGGAGAATTTTCTTTACGATTTCTCCACGTACAGAGTCTACATGCTATAATAGAAATCCATGAAAATAATGGGTTCATTTTGAGTGGTCGTGAGGAGTTTGTGTAGCACCTATTCCTTATTTGTTGTTTATGAATGTATTATAGGCATGCAAATATGATTTTTAAAATTGTTCACGATTTCTAACACAATCCTTATAATATGTATAGGTAGGTACCTATACGGTATACTTGAAAGCATAAAAATTTTAAGACAAAGAAGTTTTTACAATTTTGTTGGAACCTATAGGTAGTGTTTCGTAGGTAGTAATTCACATGCCTTTGCATAGGAGATTCTTTAGAAATGGACTCATCCTCAAGCAAGTATTGGATAACTTAAGGTGCTGTGTATTACAGTATCGTGTCCTCCAATGGTAATAAGTATATTTGAAGTACGAGCTTTTATACCTTTTTATAATGATAACGTAGTTTGCTGTTTGGACCAAGTGGTAGTAGGTGGTCGCTTTAATAGTAGTAAACTATGTGAACATGTAGAAATAAAAGTGAAAGGTAACGAACTAAAACTAACACTTCGCTACCTTCCTAAGCATGAATATTTCATGTGACGAGATGCTTTCGTTTCCGCTAGAATCTTGCACATACTTTTTGCTCTAACCAGCATATAAACTGATGAATAACCTCCTATAGGACTTCTTCTTGAAGAACAGGGATAATTTGTTACATCAATAATAAATTTTCATACCATTTCTATCGTAAATGTCTATGCTACGTAGCAACATGCACATCGGCATGAATTTTTGGTCGACATCAAGTCGATTACTCGAAATTGTGCAAATGTAGGTTTGTATACGATGACATTTTCATAACAACGATAAAACACGTTAAATTCCCTTCAAAATGGTGTTTTTTACATAAAATTGTAATGTCCCAGATTTTTTGACAGTTCCCGTGACAGTTGTATAGATGGCGCCATTTGAAAAAAATACATCTTCTGTATCGGCGCATGCGCAATAAACCGTTCAAATAATACCACATTTCAACCGCGTAAGTTCATTTGAACGTTGCGGCGGTTCCGTCGATGTAAGTCGACGTATTTTTTTAGGAAGTAGTGCTTTTTAGCGCAACTTCCATTGGGAAGTATTCCCTGACGTGTACCATGGCGTACTGCGTTGAGGGGTGTACACGTAGTGTATAATACTTCCCTAAGAACAACATAGTTCCCTTTCAGCTCATTCTTCGGTTAGGGGGTTTTGTTTAGGTCATTTCCGCTGATAGTTAGTTCCGCTTTCTCCGCTCGTTCGAGTAAAGATAGTGTTTGGATGTAGGTTAGTTAGTTAGCTTAGGTTAGGGGGCTAATAAATCAAATCTCTGGACGTAGTCAAACGTTGTTCAGTAACGCGAGTTTTAAACGTCTCACTTGGAAACAATAAAAAAAATGAAACTAAACAGAGAAACAAAAATTCTTAGTGAAAATAAACAGTTCCACAACAAACAGCTTTGGACATTAGGATATTTGTAGTTTTGAGAATTTTTTTAACTTTTTAAATTTCCTAATGGAACTCTGCGAGCAACCCTTCACCTAAGCAAAAAGACCTAGGACTTTCGATTCTTGGCGCACGTATCTCCTATCCAATGCCGAGCGAGCCGAAGGAGAGTTCGGAATAGCTAGGGCTTTTCCTTACACTCTACATCGATTATTTCTTTTAATACAAATTCAAACAACAATTCTAAATGAAGCTAAACAAAATGTGACACCAATCAGCTTTGCACATTAGATTATTTGTAGATTTAGGATTTTTTTTTAAATACAAATTCAAACAAAAATTCTAAATGAAGCTAAACAGAGTGTGACACTAAGCAGCTTGGGACATTAGGTTATTTGTAGATTTAAGAAATTTTTTTTAAACTTTTCGAAATACAAATTCAAACAAAAATTCTCTCCCCAACCAAGTAAACTAACTAAATAAAGACTTTCGATTCTTACTACACGCGCCTCGTATACCAATGCCGAGCGAGCGGAAGGCGAGTTCGGCATAACTCTGTCCCTCCCTTAGAGTCGTCTCTCTACGTCCACGGTGGCAAACGACATTTGCCAACGGCCAAACACACAGTACATTTTTTTACACCAATGCCGAGCAAGCCGAAGGCGAGTTCGGCATAGCTAGGGCTCTCCCTTAGATTCGTCTCTCTCCGTCCATGGTGGCAAACGACATTTACCAACGGCCAAACATACAGTACATTTTTTTTACACCAATAGGCGAGTTCGGCATAGCTAGGGCTCTCCCTTAGATTCGTCTCTCTACGTCCACGGTGGCAAACGACATTTATCAACAGCCAAACACACACTACACTTTTTTTCATACCAATGCCGAGCGAGCCGAAGGCGAGTTCGGCATAGCTAGGGCTCTCCCTTAGATTCGTCTCTACGTCCACGGTGGCAAACGACATTTAAATTTTTGTTTAACTTTTTTGAAATACAAATTTCAACAAACATTTTTAATAACCCTTCCCCCTAACGAAGTAAAATAATCTAGGACTTTCGATTCTTAACACACGCGCCTCGTATACCAATGCCGAGCGAGCCGAAGGCGAGTTCGGCATAAACCAACCGCCGTCCCGAATGTCGGGGTCGATAAACGGATCCG